ATGGCCCACCAGTGTCTAATCCTGTGGACTGGATCCAGCTCATGGGCTGGAATTTGCCCACCCCACTCTTGCCCTATAAGTATTATATCATTTCACTAGCTCTAAAACCATCCTATACCTATCTAGCAATTTGACAAGACATTGGGGGACTCAAACTTTTAATCCATTTTGTGTTTATAGGATAATCAATTCTGCTCAGTTAGGATTTCATTTCATTTTACTAAATTTAATTACTTTCCTTACAATGTGCTGTTTAATTCAACATCATATTGACATTTTGCATACTAATTTGCTTTGCTCACAGTAGAGTCGTAAGTCTGTGTCAGTAATACCATATGTACAATAAAGACTCATTGTATGTGTTGTGGTGATGTCTTCAAAGAAAAAATCTTCCTTATTACTGTTCTATGCCATATTTAATTATTCTGTCAGTATAAGAAACTAGCCAATTAGCCCATCATAAGATGGGATTTTCAGGTCTCTCCTCCACATCGGTCTTCTCTCCTGAGCCTCCGGTCTCTCGCTCCGTGTCTCTCTCTCTCTCTCCTCCTCCTCCTACTGCCTCCCCCCTATGATGGGCTAATTGGCAAGTCATATATACAATAGCCCAATGTCTGTGACTCTGTAATGCTGAAATGCTGGCTGTTCGCTCTGGGGGGGCTCTGTTGCCTCCCACCGTGGTGCTCAGCTGACTTCTGACTTCTGTTTGGGGTCCGCGCTCCCCATGCAGCACCCTCGTGGGGCAAATGGCCACTTGAGCCACTTGCTCCCACGTGGCGGCCGGGCTGAGCGGTGCAGAAGTCAGCCGAGAGCCACAGCAGGAGGTGAAGGGGGGCGGGGCGATGATGTTCACGGCCAGGGAGTGGGGCCTGGAACCGCTGTCATGCCGCATGTCCCCGCCCCCTTTCCCCTCCCACCGTGGCGCTCAGCTGACTTCTGCTCCGCTCAGCCAGGCCGCCGCGGGGGAGCAAGTGGCGCAAGCAGCCGTTTGGGCCCCGCACTCACCATGCAGCACAGGCCGCCCAGAGGGAACAGCCAGCATTTCAGCATTACAGACTCAGACATTGGGTTACTATATATATGATAGGAACTTTGTCAATGCTTTCAAGTTTTGTTGCAAATGCTGATGATGCCATGGGTTAATTTAAAATCAGTTACAAATGCACCAATCATTTGCAGCATTGTTGATTATTTTAAAATTAGGATGCTGCCTGTATCTGGAATGGATATTAAAGATCATTTGGCCCTTTCTTAAAGGAGAGTCTCCCCAATGTCTGGCCCAATTTTTCCTTCTCTGTCTGTTGTGTGTTTGTGTTTCCTTGTTGGGCACTGACAAAAAAACATGGCCTCCAGAGAAGCAACTGACTTGAGACTGGATCCGGATATCCAAAAAAGTACATTTTTATTCAACAACAAGTTATTCATTTCTGTGGTACAGAAGAATAATCAAGTGCAGTGGACAAACTACTGGGGGGAAATTCTATGAGCCTATATTATTCAGAAGTTCACATCACAATGCTCCCTTCTGACCTTCAGATCTATGAAGTATCAGACCAAGCCATCCTAAATGCTTCTACGGTCTATTAAAAATAGTTCAAAACTCAATTTGTTCTCAATCATTTCCAGATGTAATTTACAGTAAGTTAAACTGTCAGACTGTATCTTTATGTGTTTGGTGCTAGTCACCAAAATCCCCCTAAATGACAGTCAAGAAAGCATTGTCAACTCTTTTGTTTCTAGGTAGCATCAGGATTACACCAGTTATAGACCAGTGTAGTAAAAAAACAAGAGTTTATGTAGACTTTATGGCACATGGCAGGCTAGATATTATAATGCTCACCATTTTCATGGGTAAATTGAGATTTCTGTTAATGATCCATTCAGAATTGGTGGCAATATCATATCAAACATTTGTCGGTCGTTCACTATTAATCTCTTGAATTCATTTTTTATTTGATAGAACTAATTATAGCATTTTTATAACTAAAGCTAGTTGGAAAATGAAATTTTTGTTTCATTGACTTTTTTGAAAAATTCTTTTAATTCCAAATCAGAACGAAGTCAGCATTTCCTACAAAAAAAACACACTGAAAAGTATCAATTCAGAAAGATCAAAGTGTTTCATTTTGGTAAGATAAAGCATTTAAATTAATGTAAGTTAAAACTTTATGATAATGATATAAAATATTAAATCACACCAAAGTAAATGACAAAGTCAAAACAAAACATTTTATCTTATTGAAATTAAACCTTCTACTATTTTTTAAATTAAATTTTACTTTTTTACCATTGAAAATATTATTGAAATCAACACATTCCCATAAGACATTTTGAGAAATCTGATTTCCCAACAAAAATCTGCTCAGTTGAAAATTGTTCTATCAGCATTAGTTCTAACACTCACAAGACTCATAATAGCTCTCTGCTAAGCCCTTATCCAAAAATTTGAAATGACAGATTAAGTTGAAAGAGTTAATTATATCTTCTCAACATTCAGCTGATGGCTAGGGGGAAACATCTATAACAAGCCAAATAGCAACTAAATTCCATTTCTCAAACAATTTATGATCTATTCTATTTGTTGTCTACACAGAGACAATTTCAAAATAAGCTCATTTGATTGAGACTCGGAATAAGCTACATGATTTGCGTAGCACAAATTGCGTAGCTTATTTTGACAGAAGGGTGTTGTCTAGATGCACCCTGAGTATGTCAACAAGTCTCCATGAGTATGCAATCCTTGATCTGTGCAGAACAGAAATTTTGTTTTCGAACCGTCTATAGTTAGAATTAATTGTAACTTTTTATCAAGTCCCAAAAATTTCTCTTCTGAGCTAGAGCTGACTTAATTATGTGACAATTAAAAAAAAAAGTCTGAAATTATTGACCCTTTTTTGGTTGTTTAAGGTCATTATTTTGACACAGCAAAAAAAAAAGAGACATTTTCTGTCCAATTGTTTTAACATTTAAAGTATGGTATTCATTACTGCTCTGAACACAAACACTGAAACATTTTGTTCTTTAATTGAGATGTCTGATTAGTAAAAATAATGTTAAAATTTATCTTTAGGAATAAATGCAACACATTAATTGAGAATAGTAAGCAAATTTTCAACCTCAGCAAAAACTTCCAAATCAACAAAACAGTTTACAGATTGCAAGAACAGAGCCTACTTATGTGCAAGTGAAGTAGCCAATGTGAAGCTAATTCATCTTTATTGCAAGAATGTCTCAAATAGGTAAGTGGCATTTTTATTCCTGGTAACTGTAAATTCATTGTAAAACCTGCCTCTCAGCAAAATACACTCAAAGAATTGCATGAAGGCTTTCAAGAATTTAATTCTTTTTCTGTTCCCGATTGTTTGCAAACTAATCCTGGTGTTCTTCAAACATATTAATTATTAATTATTATTATTTCTAGAAATCCCAACCTTTATTGGTGCTCCATTTCTCTGACTGGGCAATTAAAAATTTTGGAAACAAGATTGTAAGGAACAACAAATGGCAAACACTGAATAACAATTAACAAGTAGGGATGGTTTGTACACCAACACTCTTGTTCACATTCTTGTATGGGCATTGTTTGAAGAATAGCTTTTCCCCACGCATGTTAATAATGACTGAATATCTCTGTATGGTTAATAAACGGCAGAATTACCTTGACTTAACCCATTACTTCTGAGGGATCTAAATGGATGTGCATGTTCATCTGTTTCAAGGTAGAGGCCTAGCTCTTCTCTTCTGTGTTTTTCCTCTTTCTCTCTTAATTTCCTGCTCTCCTCATTTTCTTATTCTTTGCATTTTTTTAATCCCTTAGGGTATGTCTACACTACCACCCTAGTTCAAACTAGGGTGGTAATGTAGGCAACCGGAGTTGCAAATGAAGCCCGGGATTTGAATTTCCCGGGCTTCATTTGCATCTTTCCGGGCGCCGCCATTTTTAAATGTCCGCTAGTGCGGACTCCGTGCCCGCGGCTACACGCGGCACGGACTAGGTTGTTCAGACTAGGCTTCCTATTCCGAACTACCGTTACTCCTTGAGGGAAAAAAGGAGTAACGGTAGTTCAGAATAGGAAGCCTAGTCCAAACTACCTAATCCGTGCCGCGTGTAGCCATGGGCACAGAGTCCGCACTAGCGGACATTTAAAAATGGCGGCGCCCGGCGAGATGCAAATGAAGCCCGGGAAATTCAAATCCCGGGCTTCCTTTGCAACTCCGGTTGCCTACATTACCACCCTAGTTCGAACTAGGGTGGTAGTGTAGACATACCCTTACTCTGAATGGATTTATGTCTATGAAAATAGCAACTGGGGCCCCAACTGTGATTGAGTCATGATTGTATTAGGCATTCTACATGCACATTGGAATATATTAAAGCAGAGGCACAATAGACCTGTGTCTAAAACCCCTACTCCTGCTGTCAAGCCATTAGCTGAGTTGCTCCAGCATCAGCACAGCAGGAAGAGAAGTGCCACAGTTGTTCCAGTCAGTTAGAGGCAGAACTTCACCACTTTTGTCCTGCTTTAAGGGTGAACAACCTGGAGGAGAAGGTAGAGAAGACAAGTAGTGGGTAGGGAGTGTCTCGAAGGCCAAGGAAGAGCAGGGGTGAGAAGAGGCAGAGTGGGGTAGGTGCATGGAGGGGGAGGAGTGGTTGAGTCATGGCAGGGCCTCAGGTAGAGAGGGAAAGCAAAATAACTGTCTCAATTGTGGTGGCTTCCTCTTTCCTAGGGAGCTTCTGGTGCCCACATAAATCTCCCCAAATGAAAAAGTCATATGGTGCCCATGCTGATAACTTTCTTTGACAGGATAATAAGACTTATGGATTGGGGAAGCAGTAGATGTGGTATATCTTGGCCTCAGTAAGGTGGTTGAGACTGTGTCATAAATGAACTAAGGAAATACAACCTAGATAGAGTTAAGGGGGTGCATAACTGGCTGGAAAAGTTATTAGTGGTTCACAGTCAAGCTGGAAGGGCAGATCAAGTGGGGCCCTGACAGGGTCCATTCTAAATCTGGTTCTGTTCATTATCTTCACCAATGGTTTAGGTAATGGCATAGAGAGTGCACTTAAAAAATGTGCAGAAGATACCAAACTGGGAGGGGTTGTGGAAGCATATTAGAGGATAGGATTAAAAATCAAAATGATCTGGACAACCTTGAGAAATGGTATGAAATAAACAGGATGAAATTTAATAAAGACAAATGCAAAGTGTTCCATGCTCAGTGGAGTAATCAGGTGCACACATACAAAATGGGAAATGACTGCCTAGGACAGTGGTCCCCAATGTTTTGGGGCTGTTGTGCACCCAGGGTGGGGGCTACGCATGTGCCGTGTGCCCAGGGCACAAGAATGGTTCGGGCCAGCCCTGGTCACTAGGTGGGCACACATAAATGCCCTGGCGGGTGCTATGGCACCTGCGGGCACTGCGTTGGGGACCACTGGCCTAGGAAGAAGTACTGGGGAAAGGGAGCTGAAGGTCATAGTGGATTAAAAGCTTAATATGAGTCAACATTATAATAGTGTTGATAAATGCCAAGTAGTGTACAATAGAAAACACAATCCCAAGTACACACATAAAATGATGGTGCCTAAATTAGCTGTTATTGCTCAAGAAAGAGATCTTAGTCATTGTGGATAGTTATCTAAAAACATCCACTCAATATGTTTTGACAGTCAAAAAAGCAAACACAAAATTGGGAATAATTAGGACCAGAATAGATTATTAGACAGAAAATATATTGCCTCTGTATAAATCCCTGGTTCATCCGAATCTTGAATCCTTGACTCCTGAGTAACCAGCCTACAATAAAGAGAAAAAAACAAGTGAAGTATGAGCCAAGGTATCATCTTGCCTTGATGCAATGGTTTCAGGATTCATTTCCAAAGGAAATTACTTTGAACTCAGTATCAGCTTCTAAATGGAACTTGTAAAGACCACCCCAGCTGTCAGAAATGCTTGTCTGGAGTCAAAGGGTGTGTCTAGACTCCAGGGTTTTTTGAAAAATGTAGCCTTTTTTAAAAAAAACTTTACCTACGTCTAGACTGCAGCTACGTTCTTTCGAAAGTAAATCGAAAGAATGTGGCAGTTTTTTCGATTACAGTAAACCTCAGTCTACGAGGAATAACACCTTTTTTAAAGTATTCTTTTGAAAAAAGGTGCTGTTGAATGCAAACTGTGCTCTTTCGAAAGAGAGCATCTAGACTCTTTTGAAAAAGCGGCTTGCTTTTTCAAAAAATCTGCTTGTAGTCTAGACACTCTCTTTCGAAAAGGCTTTTTCTTTTGAAAGAGGCTTGTAGTCTAGACGTAGCCAAAGAAGAAATACATAGTGGCAAATCTTTTAGATTAATGCACAGCTCACGAAACAGGGTTGAGTGCTGAGGAGATTTCCTGGACCACTGAGAGAGTATGTCTATGCTGCAGTAAAAACCCATGGTTGGCCTGTGCTAGCTGACTTAGGCTAAGGGCTTGGGCTACAAGGCATTTAATTGTAGCTCTAGGACCCTGTGAGGTGGGAGGATCCAGAGCTTGGGTTGCAGCCCAAAACTGTATGTCTACACCACAATTAAACAGCCCAATAGGCAGAGCTCCTGAGCCCAATAAGCTGGCACAGGCCAGCCGCAGGTGTTTAATTGCAGTGTAGACATACCCTGAAGGAAAAATCCTCCCTTTCCAGCTCTAATAGATCCCATACCCAGTGAATCTAAGTAGTGGTTGATGTACCAATCCTGCTCTCACTTTCACCCCCACAAGCTGCCAGCACATACCAAATCACAGAGGAGCAAGTGATTTGTTGAAGCGTACAATGGTTGTGAACTTCAATGTCCTGTTCTCCCTTGAGTAATAGGAACAACTTGGCTGTACTGGGTCAAGGACCTTGTCAGCTGCAATGACATTGGAAGGCAAGATTTGTTCCATAGACATTCAGATATCATGATGATGAGCTTGGGATAGAGGGTGAGAGATGCATGTGATGCAAATAATAATATAAAGCCAATAATCCCCTCTTACTGGATGTCCCTATCCCTCCAGTCTCTGGAGGCCAGAGAAAAGAATGTATGCCTTATTCTCTTTTAGCTCATCTAGTTAAGTTCTGTATTTAGGGAACAGAAGGTCATTGTGTTTGCCTATGATCATTGGGTAAGAGAGGCAGCTGTTACTTCTACAGGGCTTATTATATAATTAGTATAAATACTGCTTGCTACATGATAGACCTTTTGCTTCAATTCCTTGTCACCCTAGTAACATAGGCAGTGTCTGGACTAGGAAAATACCTTCGTGTGTAGCAAACTTCTTAGCAACACATGATTTGCACATTTGAAACACCTTATAGACAATGGTGTTAAAAACATGTCAGCTGCTTGTAGAATCATAGAAAGTAGAGCTGAAAGGGGTCATTCTGTCAATCCCCAATACTGAGGCAGGATTAAGTGTACCTGAACTACCCTGATAGTTCTCACCTGTTCCTAAAAAAAATGATGGGGGTTCCAAAGTCTCCATAAGTAAATTGTTTCAGTGCTTACCTATATTTATAGTTGGAAAGATTTTCCTAAATCCAGCCTTAAATCTCCCATGTTGCAAACGAAGCCGATTATTTCTTATGCTACTCCCTATGGATGTAGAGAAGAACTGATTGCCATCCTCTTTCAAATAAACTTGCTTTCAAGGCTGTTCCCCACTTTGGCACTTTGAGTGAAGAAGGCCCATAAGAGATCTTAAAATATCTTGCCACTAATGGCTTCTGTTTAAAAAGTCCCCAAAGCCACAGATTTCCTGACCTTAGGTCGTATGCTGCCAGCACTCAAAACCTCCTTGAAGCCAGGAAGAAACACTTGAAAACTTCTTCCTGTGGGGTAACCCCAAGCTCTTAACCCTCCCTTAATAAACCTCCTCTCTTTGAAAACAAACTGTAACCTCTTAACAGCTGACCTTCAGTTAAGGCACATGGAGACAGAATCTTCTGCCTTCTAGGACACGGGAATTAGATTATAGTCTAAAAAAAGTGATTTTATTAACAAAGCAAAGAAGATATATTTGGTAATGCATACTTGGTTGCTATGTGTTACAGAACTAAAAAATAATGAAAGCACAGAGAATTGCTTCCCCGGGATTCAGTTCCAGCGTACAGAGGGGTTAGCACAGAGGAGTTTAACCAAACTAAAATAAAAGAAAATAACTTGATCATGTCTAACTAAACATTTCCTGTTCTACTTACATCTGTTGATCCAAAGTTTAGGTTT